GACATCTAACCCTTGAATGTTTCAGTTCACAAAAACATTCACACATGTGTATCTCTATTAATTTAGGCTGTCTTTAATTTCTCTTGGAATTTTTTTGGTAGTTGTCAGGTTACAGATCTTAAACATATTTTTAGATTTATCAGTATTTAATACTTTTATGTTGTTAGTAGGTACAAATGCAATTGACTTTTGTATATTGACTTTGTGTCTTGCAGCCTTCACAATTCACTTATTAGTTCTAGGACTCCTTGTGGATTTCCCAGGATTTTCTCCATTAATGATCATGTTGTATGTGAATAAAGGAATTTTATGCATTTTATTTTTTAATGCCTGTTCTAGTTTGAATCTTTAGTTCTGATGTTGATTAAAAGGGATAAGAACAAATATTCTGGCCTTGCTGTTGATCTTGGGGGGACAGAATTTAGTCTTCACAATAAATACATTGCTAGCTGCAGGTATTTCATAGATGCCTTTTCTAGGTTGAGAACATTGTCTTTTATTCTTACTTTGCTAGCATTCTTACCATGAATTATGTTGAATTTTGTCATGCTTTTTCTTCATCTATTGAGATGATCATATGATGTTTCAATTTTCTTAATATTATACTAGTTGGCTTAAAATATAAACCATCTCAAATTTTAGTCATAGAACTAGGCCTTAATGCCTTATCCTTTTATATATTACTGGATCAATTATCTAAAATGTAAAGATGTTTGTGGGTGTGTTCATGAGGGATAGTGATGTACAGTTTTCTTATGTATTTATATGGTTTTGGTATCGGGATAATGGCCTTAAGTATGAGATGAAACTATTTCTGCCTCTTATTTTCTAGGGCAGTTCCTTTAGAATTAGTTTTGTTTCTTCCCTAAGTATTTGGTAGAATTCACTAGTGAAGCCATTTGGGTCTAGAGTGGGTTTTTTTTGTGTGTATGGGTGTGGGGGTGTGTGTTAAATTACAAATTTAGTTTCATTCAGATTATGCTGATTTCTTCTGAGTAAGTTTTGGTATGTTGTGACCATCACAGAGTTTGTTCATTTCATTAAACTCTGTTTTGCCTTTTACTATCTGTGGTGTTTGTAGGAATAGCCATCTTTCATTTCTGAGTATGGTAATTAGTGTTTTTGTCTTCCTCTCTTTCCTAGCAATCTTTCTAGAGGTTGATTCAATTTATTGAATTTTCCAAAGAACCTATTTTTGACTACATTGAAATTTGGTTTTCCTTTTTTTTTTTTTAAATTTCATTGATTTCTTCTCTTTATTATGTTTTCTCTTTCTGCATCTTTTGGATTTAATTTGGATTCCTAAGATAGAAGTTACAAGTAGGAGTCAGTAACTGCAATGCAGGGGCTAAGTCCAGTTCTTGAATGACCCATGAATTAGGAATTATTTTCACATTAAGAGTTGAAAAAATCAAAAGCATATTTCGTGGCATGTGGAAATTAAAGGAAATTCAGATTTCAGTACTATAAATAAAGTTTTATTGGAATGCAGCCACACTTAGTTCTTAAGATGTTGTCTGTGGCTGCTGCTGTGCTGAAATGGCAGAGTTGAGTAGTTGTGTCAGAGACCACATGGCATTCTCCTTGCTTTGTACTGCTGCCTGGTCCACTGTAAGCAGTGGTGTAGGTGCTATACTTTACACTGTGTATTTTGTTTTTTTGTCAGTGCATACCCATTATGTCAAAACAAGAAAAGACAAAAAATGCACATGTGGAATATCATACTTTTACAGTGCAGTGGAGTGTGGGTTATTGAATTAGATGACAAAGCATTGTGTTTATTATGCAGTGACACTATAGCTGTGCTAAAGAAATGTCAGTATACACTGACATTACCAGACCAAGCACTCATCACAATATTCCTAGCTTGCAAGAAAAAAGTAATGGTTAGAAAATTTAGAAAACTTAAAAAGGAATGTCTTATTCCAGTGACATTTCTTCACAAAATTAAAAAATGAAAATGAAATCATACCCAGAGTAAACTTCCAAGTGACTTGTTTGTGAGCCAAGCAAGGAAGTCATTTACCTATGGTGAGTTAACTGAATCATGTGGGGTTGCAGCAGGCACAGAACTGTGTCTGGAGAAAATAAACTTGTTTAAAACCATTAGCCTTTTGGCAGGAACAGTTGCTGGAAGGGTTGAGGACATCATTAATCAATTAAGAAACAAAGTAAATGATTTTGAATGGTTTTCCTTGGCTCATGATGAGTTGGCAGATGTTAGCAATCCTGCTTGTTGTTTATTTAAGAAATCAATGCTGAGTTTGAAGTTATTGAAGAATTAGTCTTAATGAATGTGGAACAACTACAGACAAGAATGTTTTCAAGAAGAAGACACTAATTCCACATAACCTGAAGTAGAATCTGCTAAAAGATGTTGCAAAATTTGTGCAGAACAGAAATAAGCTCAGGTGGACACATTTATAAAGCTGTGAAAATTTAAGGTATTTAAAGCCTATGATTATTCATTGTGTTATTTCTGAGATGTTTCGCAGGGAATATTTGAATCTACCTTCATGGGATTAGCCATTGCCAATTCCTTGAATTTTTATCAGAAATTAGAAAACAAATATCCTCATCTGCCTTAACCACACAGTAGTTTAGTTAGTGGTGGCAAGGTTTTCTTTCAAAGTTATAGCTAAGATTAAAATTTTTCTGAATGAGAGGAACTGCCTGTAGTCCCCATGATTGAACTCAGAATGATTTTAGAAATCAGTTTTTGCCACAGACTTGATAATGTTTCTTAATGAATTCAACCTAAAATTACAAGATCAAAAGTGCTTATATTGAAACTTACACTGTGATGAAATTCTTTCAATGCTAACTAATGTTTTGCATTTAATATCAAGCTGTTTTATGCAGCTTTCTGTGCTGTAAAAGTTAAAATAAGTTGAGATCTCCATTCCCACCCAAAGTTGCTGTCTTTATATTTTCTGAGTGTAAATTAGTTTCAGCAACATTTTTCAAACTTTGATGCAAATGAAAAGGAAATTTCCATATTACAGAATCCATTTAGCTATGCACTTGAAGTATTTCCACATAACCTTTAATTGGACATGATTAATCTGTAATGTAATAACCTGCTAAAAGGCAAAAACTCAGAGAAGAATGAATTCTTTAAATACCTTCCAGACAATGAATATGCTGAATGGAAATTACATGCTTGTGATTCGATACATTTGTGATTGCAGCAGTACCTAACTGGTACTTTTTGAAAAAAAAAAGACATTTTTCGCAGATGAAATATATAAAATGTATTAGCAATCAGCACTATGTGAACATTTGTGATTGGTTTTGATGGTAGGGATTCCTAATCCTAACTGAGTCCTAATTGAAATATCCTCGATAAGAGTTTTATTCTTCTCTTTAGAAAGTGTGTCTTACAGAATGTTATTACTACTACAATGTTTTGAATTTCATCAGTAAAAATTATGGAAATTTTGTCTCATTATATAAGCACTTACATAATATCCTCCATTTTGCTTGTTAGTTCTCATACTTGAAGGTCCTTTATAGAAAAGGTGTGCTGACCGTTTGGTTATATCAAAATATTTTTATATTGCATAATTGTATACTTGCAGTTACTAGAATTAACACTAATTTTGCCTCACAATGACTTTAGGAGAAAATACTTTGTGGAGCAGCTTTGTTTATGCTGGATTTATTATTGTAGCTTTGTCAATGTAATAAAACCTTATGTGTTAGCAGACTTTTCATCTTGGTGACAGATACCTGAGGAAAGCAACTTAAAGGAAATGAATTTATTTTGGCTCCCAATTTCAGAGGTTTCAATCTGTGGTAGGCTGGTTCTGTGTTTTTGGGACTGTGGTGAGGCAGTACATTATGGGGGAAGGGTGTGGTACTGCAGAACTGTTCAACTCTTGGTAGCCAGGAAGCAAAAGGCGAGAATGCCTACTCTAGTGGGCTTTCTCCTTTTTCCCCTTTTATTCTATTCAGGCCCAGCCTATGGGATGCTGCTGCCAACATTCAGGAAGAGTGTTTCCCCTTTAGTTAATCCTCTCTCAGGTGTGCTCTACTAAGTACTTCTCAATCTACTCAAATTGACAATCAAATTGACCATCACACCTTATTATTTTGTGTTAATGTTCTTAATCTGAAGAAGCAGCTTTCCATGGTTGTTTTGTATTCTGTGGATACATGTACTAGAACATTGACATTTTTCATTGTGTAGAAATCATGTACTGTTTGTTGTAAGAGTCTATCTTAAAGATAACCAAAGCAAAGAAAGGACTGAGGTATGGTAAAGTGACAGAACACCTGCCTAGCAAGTGGGAGATCCTGAGTTCAAGCCCCAGTAATGACAAAAAATGGTCCTTAAATACGATTTTTCACTCTTGAGTCTGAAAATCTCTGTAGTTTTAACTTACATCAGTGGAAAACATAACATTCATATATTTGTTTGTATGGTGTTCATATTCTTATTTCTGTGTTGTCAAGAAATGAATATATTCTGCAGTGAAACAAAGTAAAGTCTTCAGAATGTATGCTACTATTATTGCAGCTTGTGGTAATTGTAAAGGAGTAAGGAACACTGGTGTCCATCCCATGTACCTATAAATAATAAGACTAGGTCTATGTAACTTCTCTCCCTGTTGTCTCCTTGGGTGTTCTTGTGATCTCCTTTACTTTCAGGATTGAAAATTTTGTTCAGTATTATGATTTCAGATAATCTTGAAGAATGACAGATAACTTTTGACTTTTAAAATGGTTTGAGTAGATTATTTTATAAAAATGGTTTAAAAACAGGTGGAAAGATTATGTAAATGGAAGAATGAGACCTGTTGAAATATTCCAGGGGAAGGGGAGATTAAGGCAGATGATGGAGGGGGTGAATTTAACTATGATGTATTGTGATAACTTTTGCAAATGTCACATTGTACCCCAGTACAACAATAATAAAAAATTATATAAAGATGACAAAAAATGTTTTAAAGTTAATGCTAAAAACTTTTAAAAAGCCATGATATTTTATTGTTTAGGTCTCTGAAAGAAGATGAATTTGGCAGAGATTTGTGACAATGCAAAGAAAGGAAGAGAGTATGCACTTCTTGGAAATTATGACTCGTCCATGGTGTATTACCAGGGAGTGATCCAGCAGATTCAGAGACATTGCCAGTCAATCAGAGACCCAGCTATCAAAGGCAAATGGCACCAGGTGAGGCGCAGTGGAGCACTCCATGTGCCAGGATGGCAGTAAATAGCCTGTCACACTTGAGAGGTTAGAGTTGGAACACCAGTTTAAGATTTTTGAGAATAGGTCTTACTTGTCTGAATACTGAAATATACTTCAAATGTAACTCAGTAATATTCCAATGTTAATATTCCTAGTTAATATTTTATATATTTTTGATCATGTATTTCATGAGATATATTTTGAAGATACTTAATTCTGATTGAATCTGTTTTTAATTAAAACATTTTAATTTTTATTTTAATTGTGTCTGACAAATTTTTGAAATAGTTCTACTTGTTCTCTTTTTACTTTTAAATGTAGTTTTGACTCATTTCATAGAACTTTTCCTTGAAAATCTCCTTCCAAATACAAACAGGTCAGTAATCTAATAAAAAAACTAATATATTTTCTAACTTTTGACTATACAACTTGATTATATAATAGTACAGTTAATAAAAACTTGAATTATAATTTTCCCAATTATTGTTAAAACTTAAAATCCTTTTAAAATTAAAAGAACAAAGTCAAACATTTCTTTGGAGTTTCCATGTTATGTGCTAATGCCTTTCAAGTGTTTCTCCTAATTTTTCCACTTGTTAGAAATCAAGTGTTTTACTGACTTTTGAGGGCAAATTTGGTTTATTTTTCCACTTTAAGTATTACCAAATTATGTTGACTGAATGAGAATATCATACTCTAACTCAGGCTGAGATTTTTAGTTCTATTCTTTGTACTACTCACAGGCAGGGTAGCTTACATCTGTTAAATAGTGAACATTTATATATAGGTATTTCTGTTGTGTTTCTATTGGGTTCTGAAATTTCATTTCTCTGTTATAGCATACTATATAATGGCATATATTAGCAGTTGAATTTTACCTAGATTTTTCTTTGGTTCTGTAACGTCTTCATTTGTTCTTTTCGCTATTTTGTTCAAAGTAAAGATGGGGAACATTTCTTCTGTTCTGCTTAAGAGCAAAATGTGCTTTCTGGTTAAAAAAATTACTCAAACTGAATTTATGAACATAATTTTAATGTTTATCTGTTTGCTTTTGAAAATTAGTGTGGGCTTAGAGTTTGGAAACAGCATTTTCCAAATAGTACATGCTTAGTTAAGTTTTTTTTAAATACAGGGAAATCTTTTTTTTTTTTGTGGTAGCAGGGTTTGAACTCAGGACTTTACACTTCCTAGGCAGGTGCTTTACCATTTGAGCCACTTTTCCAGCCCTAAATATAAGAAAAATCTTGACTTAAACTTAAAATAAACTTTACCCAGGACTTGAAAGAATTTAAGACCAAAATATTAGATTTCAGGTGAAGGAGAATTTAAATAAAAATTGAAAATATGTAGTTCACAGTATTATATAGTGCCTTAGGCTTTCAGATACTCATGACAGGCATATTTAGTGATATTGTAGATACGAGTTGCTGGTGAAAATTTTTACATTTTTTGTAATCTATGAGTATTTTAAAAGGATTTAGCAGGCACAATAGAGATTTCTGGGAGTAGTTACCTTGTTACTGACTTAGTTACTTGTTTTAAATTATGTTAATGATTTTCACTTTTTTTTGGTAGAGCTAGAGTTCTATTATGAAAGACATAACTATTTCCTTTATGAAAGTTGCATAATTATGTCTTTTGTCAAATTACTCTGCTGTTGTCTGTATATATATTTTTAAAAATTTTTTATTCATTTATTCACATGTGCATACATTGTTTGGGTATTCTCTGTATATTACTCTGAATAGTTTTTTCAGTATTTTTGAGTATGTTTTAATGATTCATTCTGTGTGCTTTGAATGACGTTAAGAAAACTTACATCTGTAGCAATGTTTTATTTACATTTTGTATAAACTTTATTTACAAAACTTTAAATGCTTTCCAGCATAAAGGCTATTTTTTTTCAGGTCCGGCAGGAATTACTGGAAGAATATGAACAAGTAAAAAGTATTGTCAGCACTTTAGAAAGTTTTAAAGTCGACAAGCCCCCAGATTTCCCAGTGTCCTGTCAAGACGAACCATTTAGAGATCCTGCAGTTTGGCCACCTCCTGTCCCTGCAGAACACAAGTAAATAAGACTTTATATTCTCTAAAGGTGCTTCTAGATAATTGATATTCAGAGTGAGACTTTATTTGAACTAAGTATGAAAAAGCATTTTGGAGGGCTTATACATTTAATATATGTTTATAATTTTCACAAGTTATAGGATTACAGAGTTTGTGTTTGATAAAAAGCAGAAGTAAATCACTTATCATATATCTTGCTTTTAGAATGCTTTATCATTGCAGTAATAATAGATGTACTAAAATTTATCAATTAAGAGAAGTCTTAAGTTTCCTAATATCAGCATCAATACTTGGATGTTGTTTTGCTTGAAAAGTCTAACAACTTCAAATGAAACAGGAGAAATTGGATTTATCTGTTTGAACCTTCATCCAGTTTCTAGTCTCAGTGTAAAAGGAGCTTTACCAATAATGCTTAGGTGGCTTATTATTGCTAAAAGTTTAGATTTCTTAGTGCGCTATGTAATGTTCCTACCTCCCATCACTTTTCTCTGACATCCAATATATGCTCATTCACATTAAACCTCTCTCTTCTTCCTTGTTTTCTTGTCTGCACAGTGTGTTCTTTCTTCAAAAATACCCATAATTTCCATCTATAAACAAGTCTGCTCTGCTGTCTCCTCTGCAGCGTTTTCAGTTTGCTTAGGCATAGAAATTTGTTCAGAGCAGTTATCCTGTTGATTTATTTGTCTCTTCATAAGACTAGAAGCTTTGCAAGGGCAAGGGTCATGGTTTAATTTATTGAAAACACAACTGAGTTCCTTTGCTAACATAGGGTTTGGCACATAGTATGGAATTCAACATTGAATGAGCAACTCTACTAATTTTACAACTGAGGAAACTGAGGCCTGAGGGACCCTGACTTGTAAATTGGGCTAGCTTAGGATCGGAGATTAGGTCTTTCTTGCTTTCTGTCTGCTTTATTGTGGAGTGGTATTATGGCTAGAGTATTGCACCATAGAAAATAAGTTTTCCTTTGGTCAGTAGCTGTGATCATTTGTTTAACTCATCTCCTGTTGAAGTTTTCTAAAAACATTTAAAGGATAGTGAAAAGTGGTTAATTTATTCTTTCATGATTTTTTCCAATAAGTTATAGATAATTTTGCAATTCCCATGGTAAAAACACTGAACAAGGATTCTTTTTAAAGGACAATGTAGTTTTTCCATCCGATGTAACTTCCTTCAGGTGTTTTGGATTAAGTAACCCTAATCTCTCAAATGGCACTGTCTTCAGAGGTCATAGGTATTACCATGGACGGTCCAAGTAAGTACTGCAAAAAAAAAGGAACAGAAACAATGGCCATAATTGTCGTCTATTGGAACTTGAATTTTTCTGCATGTGTCTGTAATGGAATACCTTATTTTTTTCTGTGAGTCATTAATTTTGAAATATACTTCTAGTTTAAAGCTAAAAGCAGCAGTGTCCACAGGTAATAACTAATGTTCATGGCTCAAACTGAGTAAAGAACTGTGGATGACCTTTTCTCATTGATGAATAACAACCTGGCAACCTCTCCTCATTAGAGAAACACTAGCCAGTTAACTTCCTTTGCTTTGTGCTTCCTTACCTCCCCACAACATAGATCTCATTTATTTTTGAACTTGTTTGTTTTAATTCTTTTTTTGTAATAAAAGTGAAGCCAAATGCACCAGAATGTATTTCTCCAAATCTTCCTTCTCCATACTAAATAGGCCCTTATATGTAGCTATTTCGTATGTGTGTGTTTCCCTCTATGCATCAGAAAATTTTAATAAAAGTAAATTTAAAACTGCAAATGTTACCTGGAAAAAAGAATCTCATTTCTACATTGTGTTGGTTACTTTTGCATCACAGTGATAAAACACTGGGAAAAACAACTAAAAGGAGGAAAGGTTTATTTTGATTAATGGTTTCAGACTATTCAGTCCATGGTTGCATGGCCCTTTGCGTTTGGGAAAAACCTATGACAGCAGGAGTGTGGCAAAAGAGAGCTGTTCACCTCATGGCAGACAAGAAGTAGAGAGGGAGGGAGACAAGAAGTAGAGAAGATACAGTCCTCCAGTGACCCACTTCCTCCAGCTTAGGCTGCACCTCCTAGAGGTTCCACAACCTCCCAAAATAGTGCTACCATCTATACAATGACACGTATACAGCATATGAGCCTGTGGGGGGATATTTCATATTTTGACTATAACGTATATATATCAATGACCCCTAAATTTTTAGTGCTTTACTTTATTTTGAGTTAGATATGATCTAAGAAATGATTTTTAAAATTATATCATTTAGGGCGCGTTAATACATTAATTATACCAGGGGTTTTCATGTGAACATGCTATAGATATGTAGAATGTATTTTGAGCAAGTTCATCCCTCTGTTATATTCCTTAGCCCTCCTTCCTTTTCCATTCTCCCTCCCCCTTTTTTTGGCTGTACTAGGGCTTGAACTCAGGGCCTCACACTTGCTAAGCAGACACTTACTTTTTGAGCCACTCTGCCAGCCCTTTTTTGTGTCGGGTATTTTTGAGATAGATTTCACAAACTGTTTGTCTGGGCTGGCCTCGAACTGCCATCTTCCTGATCTCTGCCTCCTGAGTAGCTAGGATTACAGGCATGAGTGACTATAGCCTCTCCTCTCTTTTTAAAACAATATTTGGTGAGTTTCATTATGCTGTCTCCATGCATATATATATATATATATATATATATATATATACACATGTATATGTAATATACTTTGATTTTCTTCACCCTTCAGTACCCTACAGTATTCTTTCAAATAAATAACAAGAGATTAACAGATTTGAAAAATGATTGGGGTCTTGGGGATACAGCTTATTGATAGAGTGCTTGCTTAGCATGCAAAAGGGTTTGCCAAAAAACCCAAAAAAGATTGCCTTATCCATAAAATTTCTCAAGTAATTTTTTCTTCCTATAAATTCTATATAAACCTTTAGTTTTCTGAAATATTTTTCTGGCAAAGAGGTTAATGGCATTTTAGATGCCTAAAGTCTCAGGAAGTTGGTGATCATTTTCAAGGAAAGGATGATAGCTAACAATTATTGGTCACATCTTTTAAGGTTTACAGGCATTATTAATCCTCTAGTGGTCCCATGAAGTAGATAAAGTTATTGTGTACCCTTATTATCATTGCTAGTTTGTTAGTAAGAAGGTAATTTTCAAATGAGAAAATTGAGGCTTACCAAGTTTGTTTTATTTTTTTAGTCATCTGAACAAGAAAGTGTCAGAGTCAGTATTTGAACTCAGATCTTCTCAACTTCAGTAGTTTTAATTGTATCCACCCTGCTCTGTTATTTTAATAACACACTCTGTGGTATCTGTGGCTATATTTTGATATACATTATATATCCTGATATTATCTACTTGATAAATCCTTACTCTAGTGGTGGTGAGAGAGTAAAGAAACTGAAAATGCTTAATGAAATAATTGTCAATATTTTAAGCATAATTAAAAATTTTCCCTATCTGGTGTTATGACCTAAGTCACTAGGAAAATACAGTTTACCTTTTCTTGTGCAAAGCATTTCAGGGATGCAGTTGAGATATTTGGCATTAACCACTACTTTGGCAGCCCTTTTTGCAGTTTTGTTGTTATCCCTTTGTGGACTGCTAACCCAGAATTTCCCCCCTCCCCCTACTGCTGCATGCCAAGGTAATGTGTATACTGTGGTTTCCACCAGTGCTTTTGCTACACTGTTTGAAGTTATACTTTCTTTGTCATGGATCTGTTGAGTTTTATCATAATCAGGTTTTAAATCAGCAGCTGCTTGAATAAGTCAAAAAATCTTTTAAAATAAATTAGATTCATTACCTTAAATGTGAGGAAATTGAGCTGTAAAAGTCAGGCATGATGAGAGGTGATATCAATAATAAAATTAAATTCCAAGGAGATGAAGCCTTCAGATCATTCACAGAGTCCTAAGCCAATAGGTTTCTTTTATTAATGAAGTGATGTTTATAATATACTACATGTAGGTTTCATAAGTATATTGTCTTTAATGAGATGATCTCTCCTAGTGAGACTTGAGCTATGAAACTAAGACTTTCTATATTGGAACATATTTGACATAGCTCATATTCAATAAATTATTATTTATTCAGAAAATGAATGTGGTAAATCTTTTTTCCAGCTTTATTGAAGTATAGTTGACAAGAAAAATTGTATATATTTAAAGTGATTTGATACATGTATGCATTGTGAAATATTTGCTACAATCAAGCCAGTTAACTCAACTGTCATCTCACATAGTTTACCATCTTTTTCTTTTTGTGATATGAGCACTTACGATCTATCTTCTTAGCATATTTCCAGTATAAAATACAATATTGTTAACTATAGAAACCTTGTTGTATGTTAGACCTCCAGAAGTGTCTCTTCTTGCACAACTGAAACTTTGTATGTATTCCTTGACCATCATGAACCCCTGCTTTCCTTTGAATGTCCCCCAAGTCATGTGTTGGAAACTTAATTCCCAGTGCAACAGTTTTAAGAGAGGTAGAAGTAGAAGTTTTAAGATGTAATTAGGTTATGAGGGCTGGATTAGTATTGTTATCATGGGAGTAGTTTGTTATAAAAGCCAGGTGGTCCCCTCTTGGCTCTTGTGCTCTTTTGGCCCTGCCTTCTGTCCTTGTCAGATGTGGTCCCCTTAGTCTTAGACTTTCCTGCCACTAGAAATGTAAGCAATAAATTTCTGTCCATTATAAATTACCCAGCCTCAGGCATTCTGTTATAACAGCACAAAATGGGCTAAGAAAATGCATGTCCCTTTCACTTCAGCCCCTATTCTCTGTTTCTATGAGTTTGCCTATTTTAGATCCCACATATAAGTAAGATCATGCAATATTTGCCTTTCTGCAATTTGTTTATTTCACTTAATATTATGTCCTCTAGGTTCATCCATGTTATTGTAAATGGCAGGATTTCCTTCTTTTTTAAGGCTGAGTAATGTTCCACTGTGAATATTCACACATTTTCTTTACCCATTCATCTGTTGGTAGATGTT